AATTGCTACTTGTTTGTTCACTAGTATGAGGATGCACTATACATACACAGAAAATGTTTTATATACTGATACTGCCATATGTAAACATTTTAATGAATATGTTTGTGAATCAAAATTATATGCCAGATATATATTCCTAGAATGTTACCAACATCACAAACCATTTTCATGTCTTCTCATTGAAGCTAAGGGTCTATTACATTGGAAACTCAATTATATTTATAGACACATCACACTTGATTTTCTGCACTGCACTGCTTGCTGTGTGAAAACAAACTGCAAAACTGAGAAGTCAAATACAGTAAAGTTTTCTTCAAAAGAAAAAAAAAATTATGAGCTTGTAGGAGCTAAACTGCCAAGTTACTTTACACTAATGACTGGAGTCAGAGTCACTATGTACGTAAATTAATTTCATAATGGTTGGAGAAAAGAAAAAATGACTTCTATGCTACGAGTACTAAGCAACTTAGTAACTTCAATAAAAAATTGCTTCTATATACTGTGGTTTCATCCTACCAAATGAAAAAAGGTAACCACTTTTAATGTGAGTCTCCTTCCATGACACTAAGCCATTAAAATTTATTTCAGGAAAAAAATCCCACAACACTTTACAGTTCCCTTAACCTAGATTTCTATTTCTAATTACATTTTAATATCTACATCCTGGATGGGCTCATATGATTTTAAGGACATTTTATCTCAAGTCCTGAGAAGCAAAAAATTTAGGAAACTAAAAAAGCAAGGAAGGTGTACAATACATGTACATAACCAGAGAACAGCAAAGAATCAAAGGTGTGTAATATTTAACAACTCTCTTAAATTTCTGACCCTTGATATTTTGTCACACTGATGTCTGGATTAAAAACTAGAGATTTTGGTTACTTAATACACAATACTCAAAATGTTGGCCTTTTTTGGTCCAGGACTACTTAAAGGTATCTTAAGGCCAGAATATAAAAAATCTACTCCATGCCACTATTACATTTTGGAGACATTACAAATAGAAATTTATAACATGGCTTATCAAGTAAGAATTTAGAGACAAAAAATTCTTAACAGTAAGACCTATCATTAAAAATAAAACAAAGGTAATAAAATTAGCTATCTAAATGATGGGATATCAGTGAAACTATTCCTAAAAAGCCATGAAAGAAAAGATCTAAATGATAGTCCAAAATAAAAAAAGCAAAATATATTTGAGAAAAACACAATGATTACTTAGAAGTCTAGAAATGGACTTAATCTTGTCTTATTTATCCTCTTATAAATAGGAAAGACTAATATTTCCATTTATAATGTAATTAATCTATCTAAAACATGTCAAATTTCACAAATATCTTTATAGGATAGGTCATTTTTAGGTATCAGTACATTCCCTATCTATCATCCTTTGACTTAGGGCATGACAGTAAAGATTCCAAAGATATTATTTTTTAAAGTATATTGAGTTGCCTGATAGACTGAATCAAATGATTCAATTAGCTTTGTTTCTTTGACTTGAAAGCTCCACGTCATTTAATAGTGTATTTTTAACAAACATGCTTTTTATTTTAATACTCACTCTAATAATACATTAGAGATATCCTTAGGGATCCAGAATATGAAAGCCATTACTACCTATATAACTACTGACCACTTCCACAGAAATTTAGGTTTTTTTTTTTTCTTAGTTGTTTGTTTTTCACGTTCTTAAAATTCCAGGTGCCCTTTTATTGTGTGAAATAATTACCCTTGAACTGAGGCAAAAAAATTTTTTGTAAAGACATCTGGCAGCATTATAAACCCAAAGATGTTCTGTTAGAAAACATGAGTTCATGGAAGAATATTAATTTAAGTGCATCTTAAGTTAGAGATGTGATAGTTAACTAGCTAAAGTTTCTTGTTTATTTTGTTCTTTGATCTGCATTACATTTTTGTTACTTTCTATCAAAAGGAAATACTATATGCTTCCTGAGAATTATTTTAAAATTGTACTTCAGATTAAATCAGACCTTGATGTAAACTGAAAGGTAATGTTAAACCTGATATTTTCTTGATCAAAAAGTCTGTATCTTCTGAAATTGACTACTTTAAGATTATTTACTTTGCTAAATAGACTGACTGTTGTAAAACATATTGTAGTAAGAGGATAATAAATTATTAAACTTTATAAGCATCCCTCCCTATGCCACTTAAAAAGTCATCAGTGGCTAACTTTAATCAATGCCATCAGATTTTAAATATATATATTGATATGTGAGTATAATTAGCTATTCCTCTCATTAAGTTTTACATGAACATCACAAAACCCAATTCTGGTTATAATTCAAAACTTTTGAAGTTTAACCACAAAATAACATTTACTTTAAAATTTTTTGCTATAAAATTTTACAAAGGGAGAGAGATGAAGTTATATTTTTCTAGTCATTTAAAGAAAAACTTCTAAATTTTCCATGATACGTAAAATTAATGCAAAAGCTTTAATTGTCGTGGACCACCAAATACCAATTATAGTCATGTGTCACTTCACAATGGGGATACGTTCTGAAAAATGTGTGGCTAGGTGATTTCCTTGTATTCACACAAACCTATATGATATAGCCTATAAAACATCTTAGCTATATGGTATAGCAACATACAAGCACCGTGGTATATATGGCTCATCATTGACCTAAATGTCATTCTGCAGCAGTTGACTGTATTCAAAATGAAACAGAAAACTGTAACGGGAATGTTTACAGGGCTTATGATTACATTCCAAATTTATAAAAATGGAGGGACAGTTATACATAATCTATTTTGGGTCTATAAAGTCAGCTAATTTGATCACTGTATTCAACTGTCTATTCCCTTTTATTTTTTGGGGGGTGGCTGGCTGCTATCTATTGTCTTTAAATATGGCTAATTTTTCAAAATGTTAAAGATATGTTTAAAGATAAAGATATGCTTATTTTGAAAAAAATGCTTTAACACTGACATTTTATTATAATGATTATTGAGCCCCCAAATTCACTTTAAAGACTTCTATTAGAAAATAGCTGGGCCGACCCCGTGGCTCACTCGGTAGAGTGCGGCGCTGGGAGCACAGTGGCGCTCCCGCCGCGGGTTCGGATCCTATATAGGGATGGCCAGTTCACTCACTGGCTGAGCGCGGTGCGGACGACACCAAGCCAAGTGTTGCGATCCCCTTACCAGTCACAAACAAAAGAAAATAGTCATAAATATACTAAAATTAGACCCCAAATAAAAAAAAAAAAAGCCTTAAGAAATCTTTTCTCTTTCCATTCTTCCTAGAATGTCTTATTATCCTTTTAAAACTGAGATTATCTATTATTCCAATAGCCAAATTATTTGGTATGATGTTTCTAGTTTTTTAAAAACCTTAAGAATTCTGTAATACTACTAAGGAATTAAAATTTCACAAGCTTTCTTTTGTTATATTATTTAACAATCTTTGTTTTTATAGTCACAGCACAACTGGCTATCAAAAGTTGGTTTGTGAAACCAAGATAATTTATACTTTTCCACAGAGTCAAAGTGCACTAAACTATATTTATTAATCATTCTAGATATCTATACTTATTATTTGCTTACTACAGGAAAACATTCTGTTTTGCTATGCATCTTTTAAAATAACTTCTAAAATAGGTTTTTATTTTGAAAATATCTTTTTTTGTCTAGCATTGCATACTCCAATGCAGGTTAAAATTAGAATGAACCATAATGTCTACCCAAAACTGTATTAAGAACATATTCTATTTTACTAAAAAAAATCAATAAATAACTACATTATAAGGTTAGATCGTTTTACAAATGTCATTTAAGTTAAATGGGTAAGAAAAGTATAAATATTATTTTTGGATGTATTTAACTTATTAAATGAAGTATTATATACCTGCAAAGATTGGTGTTATATATCTGAGTAAACACAAACCTTCATGAAATGACTTAAGAGCAGAATAAAAATCATTAGGATATACTAGACAATTCAGATGCAGAAAGGGCTGCATAAATGTGCATTCCACATTTATTTCCAGGAAATTTTTTTTTTTTCCTTTTTCTGTGTCTGGCAATGGATCACAACCCTCAGTGTTGCCCCTGTACCGGACCGGGACCGGCAACGGGATCGCAACCCTCAGCGCTGCTCCCGCGCCTCGCTCAGCCAGTGAGCGGGAACCGGTCTGTATGTGGGATCCGAACCCTCGGCGGGAGCGCCGCCACGCTTCCCAAGCGGCCCATATTTCCAGGAAATTTTTGAGACATAGCTCCTAACCAAGCAGGTGGAGGATTTAACTGAAGAGAAAGCTATAAGGTCCCTACTTGTACTGTTATATATTCCCTTTCATAACCTTCATGCTTCTGAACTGAACCTATATATTCAAAAAACTAATGAGAAGTAACTGATACATACTTTTAAAAAATGTATTTTGTCACTTACTGAATATAATTATTTCATTTTAAGAGTATGAAGAGAGGACAGTTTAAAGACAAGAAGACATTTAAAAATATATTTTGGGTCTATATGATTTTTTTTGATGCAAAAAAGGGACACTTCCCCTGAAAAAGCTGAATAAAAATCCCTGCCAAATGCACCACTCCATACTCTTCTTTCAGTGCAAACTACATTGTAGAAACAAAATCTCTCGTAGAGAACCAGTTGTGAGAAATAATGACTATCCCTAAAGATACTATACTCTCAATTTTTAACTACTTAAGAAAAGTCAATATTAATTCTTCTTAATAAAAAGATTTAGCTTTGGGAAAAATGAGCCTTTCAAAATTTTAACATTGGTCAATCTAGTTGACTGGCATTAAGAACACAAGGGCCCATGCATTTGTCTATGCTTCTTCCTCCTGTAGGGTGAAATGTCATTTCAGCCTGTTCCTGAATGGTTCCACCCTCTGGACAGAACTGAACGTGAACAAGTCTGGCGATGAAGCACAGATTAGGTCCTTAATATATGTTAAAATTACTCTCCCTTCTCCCACTTATATAAGAAGCACCAAAACTGGAGCCAAAGTTTTAAAAGGTAATGTAAGAGCAGGTACTATAATTTAATCACATCGTATCATATTACACTATATAACATTCTATATTTTGCCTGTTGATATGTAACACAGTTAAGTTTATTACAAGCATTATTTCCTAAGACTTATGGTATGTTTTCCTTTCCAAGTATTACTGCTTATTTGTGTTTATCTACATTGCAACATTAAGTAAATCAATGATAAATGTATATATGTGATACAGTGTGCCATTTCTCCCTACCTGTGTTAAAGTATTATTAACAAAATCGGTGAAGAAAAGCAAGACTATTAAGACTGAAACAAGGCTACCAACATCACAGATGCATGTTTAAGTAGGTCAACAGCACTTTCCCCTTAACATGAAGGTAATTTCATCAAAAGGCTTCCACATTTTTAGGCTAGCATTATTATAGCAGCAGCCACTCTTCAGGACAAGTAGATCAAAAGTTTCAAGTGAAAAAAAGAAAAACACTGAATTACTCTATGAAAATATTAATCTACATTACTAATAAAAGAACCAAACTGCTGGTGTCACCTTAACATGAAATTGTGTGTTTTCCCTTTCAATGTACGATTTAGTTCATGTGATGACCAGAAAGCTCTGAAGTTTTCGTAGTATATTAATGAGATGAACTAATTTGTCGAGGAACCTCTCTTATTTGTTTTAATATTTAAATTATAACAATACAGTAACTAGAAAAAGGTCAGTGCCTCAGTGGCTTTAACCACATCAATTTCAATTTTTGTTTTCAAAATAATGACGAAATTAAAAATATATGCTTCTGCAACAACAGTACAATACGGTATCCTTTCCTGAATAAAGGAGCTAAGGTTTATCCAAGTAGAAGCTTTAAATAAGTTAGATTGTTGCCAACAACATGTCAATCCTGCATGTTTGATATAAAATACATTAGGAAAGCTTAAACTGATTTGTAAATCTATATTCGGCTAAAGCTTCACATAAGCAGCAATGGAAATGAACAGAGCTACATTCAATATAAAACACTTTCCAAAACTACTCCAAAAAACAAATGACAAAGTGGTTAAGAACAACTGAACATCTGTTGTGTGTACCAGATGTAAAAGAAGAATGGATCCCGTGGTTACTTGTACTGGTTTGAATTATGTGAAGGTAAGATTAAGAGTTAGTCCACTTCCATCTCTCCAGAAGATTTAGTATGCTGTGAGCTGTCTTTTGTTGTTTCTGGTTTAGTTTCAGTTCCACTCTGTCCATCCACTGGCCCATTGTGCTCACCATTAGCTTTTGCTTTGTCTTCAGCAACTTCTACTTTTGGTTTGGGCTTGTAAATGATGGGGTTACAGAAATTATCCAGTTCCTAAAGACATGAAGAAATTGATTATATTAAAAGTATCACAGAACGAGTTACCATTAACTTTCTAAATTCCACATTAACTTTCTAAATTTCCACATTATTCCACACTCCTGAATTTATGTTAGCCCAGCTAGATAACCAATTGTTTCTTCAAATGCCTCACGAAGGATTTACCTTCTGTGCATATCTGTGGTAATTAGAAACTACCGACTCTTTAACAATATTTTTTGTATCTAATCTTCCCAAAACTTGTTTCCTCATAATTTAAATATAGTTTTTCACAGAAATAATTTTTAATTCTTCCTTTAAATTATGCCTAATGCTTTGTCATGAGAATTATGTCAAATAACACCTATTTCATAAATTGAAATTTCTCAACATTTATACAAAACAATTTTAATAAAAAGAAGCACATATACACTAACAACTTTATTTTTTGAAAACAGCTGAGTTGCCTTTTCTGTTAAAGAAAAAAATAAGCCTTAAAAGTAAATGCAACTTAATAGTTTAAGTGAAATACAATGTATTTTTTATTTCCTTGCTTTTTATACACAGATAAAAGACCATTACATAAATACTACTCAAATTTAAAAACCTTTCAAGACTAGAGTCTCAAAGATTGAAATAGAGATAGAAAGACAGGTAGTAACGTCATAGGGGGAATGTTTCAGTGGCAAACTGCTCATACACACTACATCTCATCTGATTAGGAATAAATTATCTATTATAACTTCTTGGCAAAACTTTCTCAAGATGAAAATACTTTTATTACTTTATCTGATTATAAAAATATCTGCTTTTGTTAAAAAAAAAAAAAAGAACCCAATGATATACTGAATGTGACTCAAAAAAAAAAAAAATCACCTGAAATTCCATCTCCTGTAGGTTAACATTATTAACATTTTAGTGATCATCATTCTGGATACATGTTCATGCATTACATATGTACAAACATACAGATCTCTGAACACAGTTATACTAGTGAGATCATTTTATTTAGATTCTGTAATCTTTGCTTTCTCACTCAACAATATATTGTACAATATATCTTTATATCTAAGCAGATATATCTCTGTATCTAAAATATTATAATTAATGGTTGCATAGCAGTATATGGACACATCAATTATTATCTCATTTCCTACTGATAGGAATTTAGGTTGCATCCACTTTCTTGCTAAATAAGCTAGGGTATTTAGCTGCATGCACTTGTGCAACGATCAATTTAGGATGAGTTCATAGAATTGTGATTTCTTGGTTACAGGGCATACTCACTTTAAATTTCTATACATATTCCGACACAATGGCCCAAGTAAGGTATAACAAATTTTGCCAAATTGCTCAGAGAACGTCCATTTTTCTACACCCTTGCCAACTATGGCGAAGGTTATAAATGTAAACAACCAACTCAGATAGGTAAAAGATTTGCATTTCTTAGATTAGTGATGAGGATAAATACCTCTTCAAATATTTATTGGACATGTATTTTCTTCTGTCAATTGTTTATCCAATGTCTTTACTCCTTTTTTAAGAATAGATAAAATTTTATTTCAATCAAAGGTTAAAAAAAAAGAAACCCAATTTAAGCTTCGTAAGAAGAAAAAGAATTTGTTGCTTCATGTAACTGAAAAGGGCTGGCTTCAAGTATGGCTTATCCAGGATCTTGGATACTGTCCTCAGGACTCTGTCTTGCTCCCTTCCTTTCTTGGCCATGTGTTCTCAAGGTCAGTTCTGTTTTCAGGCAGTCTTTGTTCAGACAAAGGTGAGATGATTACAGTTATCCCTCAATATCCTCAGGGGATTGGTTTCAGGAATTCCCACCCCATGGATATCAAAATCTGCAGACACTCAAGTCTCTTATATAAAATGATGTAGTATTTGCATAGAATCTACACACATCTTCCTGTATACTTTAGTAATTGTTCATAATACCTAATACAATGTGCTATGTAAATATTTGTTTATACTGTACTGTTTATTTGTATTATTTTTATTGTTGTATTTTTTTAAGTTGTTTTTTTACCCCCAAATATTTTCTATGCACAGTTGGTTGAATCCACAGATGTGGAACCCATGGATACAAAGGGCCTACGAGAAATCTAAGCCTTCTATCCTATAATGAATCAGCTCGCAGAAAGCTCCAAATAAAGGCCTGGAATTAAGTTGCAGGGTGCTGTTGGCCTAGCATGGGTCACCAGCACTTATATCTTGACCTGGTGCTCTCCAGTGGGAAGGGTGTGTCTAATTAGCCTCTAGATCCCCCTACACCAAGCATGCTGCCTAGGACACAACCTGGTGGGTAGGTGGATGGGTGGATGGGTGGACAGGTGGACGGGTGGTTGGATGAAGGGGATAAAAAATAACAGTCCCTTTCTATGTATATAGAACACTCTGCCATTGAAAGGCAGATTACTCCAAGTGGAAGTGACTTCCCAAGGACAACATGTCACTTGCGCGGTTCTAGGGCCATGTTGTCTCTACTGGGAAGGGCAGGGGAGAGAAGTGTGCCCGCACTCTCATGCAGTGGTTGTTGGCACTATGCCCAGTATGTACTTTGCATTGTTTCAATTAGTCTTCATTCTCTATAGAGCCAGCATGTCTGTGTGTCTGTTTCAGATGAGGAATATCACTTGACTGGGATGGCAAGAAGATGGTGAAACTGGGCTTCTCCCATCTGACCCCCTCATGCTCTATAGCCTCTTCAGGGCAGGACAGACGAGGGATGGCCAAGTGAGCCTTGCTAAGGAGTCTGGACTTTATCCTAACACTTCAGTCTATCCTTCCTGTATGTACGTGACTCCTCGGAAGACCCTCTGGTCCTGTCTCTTTCCAGGGCAGGTGTACCAGTCAAAACTCTTTCAGTTTGAAGTGCCAGAAATCCAACTCAAACTTACTGGCTTATGTGAAATAGGAAGTTAATACCTTAAATAACAAAGTTTAAGGGGTTCAGGAACAGCTTGATCCAGATACTCAAATAATGTCAAGAATACAAGGGTATGTCTTTACTCACTTTTCTACTTGGATACTGATCTTTATTATAAAGTTTTGTCCCCATATTTTTCATGGTGTTTTCTATGATAATTATTTTTTTTTTATTTTTATTTTTTAAAGATGACCGGTAAGGGGATCTTAACCCTTGACTTGGTGTTGTCAGCACCACGCTCAGCCAGTGAGTAAACCAGCCATCCCTATATGGGATCCGAACCCGTGGCCTTGGTGTTATCAGCACCACACTCTCCCGAGTGAGCCATGGGCTGGCCCCCTATGATAATTTTTGACACTTACATTAGCAATTCTTCTTAAACTGGAAAGTTTATTCCAGGAATGATTTTACCATGGAAGTTCACATATTTCAAACTTGGTCAAAAACAGACCTACACTGCAAAGTTTTATAATGAAGACTTAGAGGTGTCTCATCCAATCTATAAGTCTGAAATATTTAACAGTCAGAAGTCATCACATTGCTTAATTTCATTTTGTATTGCTCTTGAAATTTAAAAACCAACCTGTGTGACAAATTAAATCAAGGAACAGAGATATCCCACACCTAGAATCTTTTAAAAAGAATTTTGGCAAAATAAAAGATTAGCTTTAACTTTCGTTTTTTTTCTAAGTTCTTCTGCTAATTGATTTTTCAAAGTATGACTTCCATTTAAAAATTTTAGTCCTTGAACCCATTAAAAAGGGAATTTTATAGTTTCTTACCTTTGACTTCGTAACTATTTCTGAAACTTTTACCACAGGATCTTGAGTGAGACTTAGTTTGTTCTGTGCATTCATCTTACTGTTCAGCCAACTCATGGCATCACTGATGTATTTTTCAACTTCTTCCATTTCAGCAGGATCCAAATGATCATATCTCTCATCCTATTTAAACAAAAACTACTTAATATAACTGATTTTTCAGTAAGCACCAGTTTGACAATTTCTGCTTAAAAGATTTAGACTTTTATTAAGTGTATACCTCACACACTCATGTGAAGAAACCACAAACAAATATAACTTAGAACTAAAGGAATTGAGAGAAAAGATAAAATAGTGTGGGTTTAAAAAGAAATGACTTTTTGAAAAAGTCAGGTTTGGAAAAAAAATTACCTGTAGAGAATAACCAAAGGGAAAGCACTTAGCCAAGAAATAAACTGCAGAAATGAAATATGTTAGAGGATAAGTAGAAATACAGTGAGCAGGCTTCTATGGGTTAAATGTGTTCCTCAAAGGTTCATGTTTTGGAGACTTAATCTCCATTGTAACAGTGTAAAGAGAGTGGGAAACCCTATTACAGCATCTGAAAGGTGGGGCTTTTAAGAGGTAATCAGGTTGTGAGGACTGTACCCTCATGAATGGATTAACCCATTGCCAGTTTAAGGTTTAATAGGTGGTAAAGGGCATGGTTCTGATGGCTTTAAAAGGAGAGCAAGTGAGAGGTTAGCTCTCTTGCTCAGCGCACTTGCCACGCAATACCCTGCATCATTGTGGAGAGGCACCACCAAGAACAAGGAGGACCCTCACCAGATGTGTTCTCTGAACTTTGCACTTCCCAGCCTCTGAAAGTGTAAGAAATAAATTTTATTTCTTTATAAATTACCCAGTTTCAGTTATTCTTTTATAAACAGAAATGGACAGATAACACAGGCATACAGCAAGCTAGACAGAAAATTCTGAATGTACAACAGAATATGCTAAGTTCCAGATAAAGAGAATGACATAATAAAATTCTGTCTGAAAAAGGGAACTGCAACTGACACATAAGACAACTTAAGATCCTTTAAAAAAAATAAGTCAAATCATATTATTCCTATGCTCAAAAATCTCCAATAACTTCCCATCTCAGAGTAAAACCCAAACTTTTGTTATTCTTTTATAAACAGAAATGGACAGATAACACAGGCATACAGCAAGCTAGACAGAAAATTCTGAATGTACAACAGAATATGCTAAGTTCCAGATAAAGAGAATGACATAATAAAATTCTGTCTGAAAAAGGGAACTGCAACTGACACATAAGACAACTTAAGATCCTTTAAAAAAAATAAGTCAAATCATATTATTCCTATGCTCAAAAATCTCCAATAACTTCCCATCTCAGAGTAAAACCCAAACTTTTACAATGGCCTACTAGGCCTTTTATGATTTGGTAACTACTACCCCTATCTCCCCTACCCACCCCAGTTTAAGCCACGCTGGCTTTCTTTGCTGTTCTTCTAACATGTTCTCCCCTTGGGGTTTTGCAACTGCTACTCCCTTTTTCTAGAACATTTCTCTTCTAGTTATTGTACATATTGAGTCCTTACCTCCTTCAGTTTTCTCCTGACATGTATGTCACCTTATTAGCCTGATCTTCTCTCTGACAAACCTCCTCCATCTCTGGCAGTCCCTTACTTTCCCTACAGCCCATTATCACCATCTGACATATTTACAGTAACTTATTTGTTGTCAGCCTTTCCCCATTGAAGCATATTAGAAACAGGTTCAATGTTTTGCTTGATGCTATAGTTCCAGCACCGAGAAAACAGCTTGGCACATAATAAAAACTCAAATGCTTGAGCATAAGTGAAGTCTTGCCTTGCTCTGGATATTATTTTAAACCTGCACACTAATGAAGACAGCTAAAGCCTGGGGAGAACTGGACTACAGTAATTATACCAGATTTAAAATATTCTTGGTATTTTCATTTATCTGCTTGTTCCTTCTAACTTTAGTATTATTCTTACATTCTATTTGACCTATAAGGACCACTTTCACAGTCAGTATCTGGATCTTTACTTTAGGTTGGCTGCTTGCAATTTTTGTTCTAAAAAACTCATAAATCTCTTATTTCTATAAGTATCCTCTTCCCACACTGTGGAAGACAAGTTGTTGACAGTTCATATGTTGACATCAGGCTGCTCAGATTTAAATTCTGATTCCATCATTTACTGTCTGTGTAATCCTCAAGGTGATAAACATTCCTATTTTTTTTTATATACAAGATGAAGATAATAGTATTAACTTTTTATAGGATATATCCTAGTGAGAATAAAGTGAGACAGTCCATGTAAAGTGCTAAAAATTCATTAAGGGCCTGATAAATGTAGGCTATTATTTATAACGAACTCATGCCTGAATGTTTCTGGTGCTGGTCTCTCCTGCCCATTGATGCAGTTTTAACATCAATAACAAAAACTGGGGGATTACAGAGAATATTCATTTAGAGCAGGGATAAGCGAATTTGTCCTGTAAGCTAAATCCAATTACCTGCCTATGTTTTTCAATAAAGTTTTTTGGAACACAGCCATGACCATTTGTTCGCATACTGTCTACAGTTGTTTTTGCACTACAATGGCAGAGATGAATACCTGTACAGACATGGTAAGGACTACAGAGCTTAAAATATTTATATTTGTCTCTTTAAAGAAAAAGTCTGCTAACTACTGGATTAGAGGAAAAACAACCAAATTTTACTGTTACATACAAATAGAGATATCATCTATATAACTATATTATTTAAAGCTTAAAAATAGTGTAAAGGTTAAGGTAATACAGATTTGGGTATGTATAAAAAAGAATAAAGGGTATAGCAAATTATGGATGACTAACAGACTGTAAGACAAAGAGTAACTAAAAGAGACAGAAGCCAAAGAACAAAATAAAGGCTAGTAGAGTCCAGTTTCAAGGAGGACCATAAAAAAAAAAAGGTCCGCGAGGACCTCTTTTTCACTACTGTGTATAAAAGACAATAAAATAAGATCTCTAAGAAAATAATGAATTTGGTAACTGGATTAATTTATAAAGCGGTTTCAGAGAATTCTCAAAGATGAAAGCCGCATATCTTCATTGTATCGCAAATGTATCATAATCCTTTACTGACAACTCTCCAATAAAAAAATTAGTTTTAAGTTTGGTACACAGTTTGAAATTTGGTAGCAATAACTGTTTCAGCTTTATAGCTGAGAACTTTTAGATTTATCCCATCCTTTCCATGTACCACACACATGCCATATGCCATCTTCACCAGTTGGCTTTGCGAATTCAATACCTTGTTTCTATATGCTTCTATCACTTTCATGATAAGCTGGATCTTTTTTCCCAAGTCATTTAAAGCTTTTGGTCTCTCTTCATGTTCCATGTACTTCATTTGAATAGGCTGGCCATATTTCTGTTAACAGAAATTTTTTAAAAAGAAAAAATTGTTATTTGCATTTTAACAGAAAACAACATTTATTGGGCCCTTATAGGATGATAAATAGGAAGAAAAGATGGCCAGATTAAAATATGTCCCCTCTTATTTCCCTATATGGAAGTGAGTTCCAGTGGCTATTTTCTTACTCAGTCTTACATAGGGACATCTAACTCATGCCATATCTTTTTCTTTTTTTTTTTTTTGTCCTTTTTTGAGACCGGCCACACTGCGCTCAGCCAGTGAGCGCTGTGAGTGCACCGGTCATCCCTATATAGGATCCGAACCCGTGGCGGGAACGCTGCACGGGCTCGGCCCATGCCATATCTTTTTCTCATTCATTAAGATTACTTCTTGATTCTTCTCAAATTCAAAGTCTCAATGAAAACTTTAATTCCTTCAAATCTGGGTGTTAAAACTTTACAAATCTATTACATTAAGAAAACCATAAGGACTATATACTACATGCAGAATTCAGATTTGAAATGGCTCCAAATATTAACAATGAATGCATAATATAACTCTCTATATACAACCTGATAACTGGGACTTCCTGATGGTTAATATCTATTAAGTATTATTTATATTTAATCACTAGATTAAAATGTTCAGTATATTCTTTTTTTTTTCTTCCCTTTTTTCCTGACCGGTAAGGGGATTGCAACTCTTGGCACGGTGTGGTCCGCACCACGCTCAGCCAGTGAGTGCACCGAACCTGCGGCCTCGGCGCTACCAGTGCTGCACTCTCCCGAGTGAGCCACGGGGCCAGCCCAAAATGTTTATTACATTCTAAGTGTAGCTTTTTCCTTCTCCAGGTGATTGAATTGGGAAGTTTCTTTTTTTCTTTTTTGGCAGCTGGCCAGTATAGGGATTGAACCCTGGACCTTGGTGTTATCAGCACCATGCTCTAACTGAGCTAACCAGCCACCCCTTGGAATGGGAAATTTTTAAATGTTAAACCAGCATCTATAACTCTGGGGAGGGGAGCACATTAGAAGGATCTAATAACTATTTTCTTTTAAATTATTTTATATATGGGGGGGTACTTCAAAAATTTCATGGAAAAATGGAATTAAAAGATAATAAGAATCTTTCCATGACCCCTTGTACTTGAATAAAAACCAGCTTATTTTAGAATAATTTCAGATTTGCAGAAAAGTTAAAAGGAGAGAAAGAGAATGCCCCAGATACTTCTCACTGCTTTTTTCTAATATTAACAGTAAGAAACCAACACTGGTACATTACTATTAACTGAACCCCAGTCTTTATTTAGATTTCGCCTTTATCTATTTCAGAATATCATACTGCATTTGGTCTATTTACATCATACTTTTCATTGTTTAAATGTTTTTGAAAGGGGAGCAAGTACTGAATTTTTAATTTTTAAAGGTCATCTCAAAAAATAAAAGCAAATCCTGTAGAAGTAAAACTTCTACAACATTCGTTTCTACGGCTACTTATATATCTGATGCAAAAGAACCCAAGTGAGAAGATACTGGGATTTTCAGTTAAAATTCCTATTGGCCTCAGTGGGGCCTGGCTGTTCCTAAGGCTTAAGATATGTACATTCTCTTAGAGACATGGGGTGTAAAAACCAGCAAGACAACAAAATATGATAAAGCCTAGTCTTGCTATCATAAATTTAGGTTTTCTAGCTGCTTTTAATTGTTCCCTTTGGAAATAACTTACTGGCATGAAGGTAATTTTTGCAAAATATTGACTTTTTTTCAATAACTTCTTTTGCCCCTCTCCTCCCCAACCCCAGTCCTAAAGGACCGCCTTTTCCCATATTCTAAAATACCTTATTTATGCCACCATTTAGCATCTTTGTAATCCCTTGCTATTCAAAGAATGGTTTAGGGACCAGCAGCATCAGCATCATTTGAAAGCTTGTTAAAAATGCAGCATCATGGGCTTACCTCATAGTTACTGAATCAGAATCTGCATTTCAACAAGAGTCCAGATAATTCATATGCACATTAAAGTACTGCTATGATCCACGCTAAGAAGGAATGATTGAAATTTCCCAATATAAACTTATAATCTCTTAAGATTTTTTTTTCCCAGGGTGGGAAGAGGGTTGGGAAGCAAGCATGAAGAAAGGAGCCAACAATTGTCTTTCCTTAAAATCAGTGACACTGACCTAGAAAAAAGGGACTTGGCAGCCAAGTCTCCTTATTTGTGAAAGGACATTCAAGAGCAGGGGTACTATTTTTGAAGTCCTTGGCTGGTCAGGTGTCCCCCCATAAGTTGCACTGTGAAAACAGAACAGGCTAGTATGATACTATTGCCCCAAATCACAGCAATGAAGGGTGAGAGAAACAAAGTGTGACTCTTCTAATGGATAAGAAGAGGTCAAGTTGATAAATTATCACTTCTTAAGACCTAGTAACATATAGCTTGTATAATAGTAACACTGGTCACCTGCTAAACATTTCTGAGTATCATGACAGATAATTATGATTATAAATTACTTGATTGTAATTTTCATGTGGCATTGCTCACCTCTCAAAGTGCTTTTAAAATTAGAGGGAACATTTTCTCTTACACATCTCTGACTTAGTAACTTCTCACATACTTATGAAAACCATACAAATCCCACAATTCCACTACAGAGTATATATAAAAAGGAAATGAAATCTGTATGCCAAAGAGATATCTGCACTCCCAGTTTGATTGCAGCATTATTCACAATAGCCAAGAGATGGAATCAACTTAACTGCCTATCAACAAACGAATGAATAAAGAAAATGTAGTATGTACAACAGAATACTATTATTTAGCCTTAAAGAAAGAAGGAAATCCTATCATTTGGGATAACTTGGATACACCTGGGGTATTATGCTAAGTGAAATAAGCTCGGTACAGAAAGAAAAATACTGTATGATCTCACTTATAGATTGAATCTAAAAATGTCAAACTTACAGAAGCACAGAGCAGAATAGTGATTACCAAGGGGTAAGCAGGTGGGGGGGGATGGGCAGACGTTGGTCAAAGGACACAGAATTTCAATTTAGACAGGAGGAATAAGTTCAACAGACCTACTGTACATCATGATGACTACAGTTAATAAGAAGATACTGTGTATGTAAAAACTGCTAGGAAAGTAGATTTTAAATGTTCTCATAAAAAAAGTATGTGAGGTAATGCATATGTTAAATAGCTTGATTTAGCCATTCCACATATATATGAGGGTATTTCAAAAAGTTCATTAATTCTATTTTCCCCACAAACTTTTTGAAGTTACCTTCATACACATATCAAACATCATATTGTACACCTTAAACACATACAATTTTACCTGTCAATTAAAAAAATAAATTTTACTAAAAAAACCCCATACTCTATGCTCTTATTTTTAGGAAAACAATGTTTTATTCAATACTTACATGGAGTTTAAAAAATTTACCTTTAGTTCTTGAAGCTTATCCACATAAACTTGTTTAGGTTGGTCCTCTCCTTCTTCATAAAGCCAATTTTCTGTGTCATCTAATATTGCAGACAGTTTATTCAAATCCTAGTCATACATTTAAGAGACACTAATTAAAAATGCTTTCCTTAGAAATAAATGTCATCAAGAAAGGACAGAATGTTTAAGTATAAAAGATTTAATTTCAGCTTTTTCTGATTTCTTATTCATAAACATGTTTTTCACCATACTTTTGCAATTCTGAAAAATAACTAAGAACCATTTCCAAGTTGGTTCAATGGACTCAAGACTGACAATGACACAGATTGGTACACCTATTTATGTAATTTATACTAGCATTCTTAAGTAAACATTTCAATGGTTCTCATAAAAAAATTATAAAATTTAGACTTACTTCTGGAGTGATGAATTTTTCATAGACAGTGCCCAGTCTGTCTCTAAAATCATATACATATTCTTCAACAGCATTCTTAGCATCATTTCTTTCTTTCTCTAACTTATCCTGCATTATCATCTTCCCCTACACAGAAAGTTTCAGATTAGTTGCCGTAAGAATATGCATTAGGGAAATGCAAATCAAAACCACAAAGAGATACCACTTCACACCCACTATGATGACTACAGCTAAAAAAAAAAAAAAAAAAAAAGAAAAAAGGGGTTCATTAGGTTGTAGAGAAACTGAAACCTTGAAATGCTGGTGGGAATGTAAAATGTTGCAGCCACTATGGAAAACCGTTTGACAGTTCCTCAAAAAGCTAAACACAGAATTACAATTTCACTCCTGACCCAGCAATTTCACTCCAAGGTATATACCCAAATGAATTGAAAGCAGAGACTTGAAGAGATATTTGTATGCCAATGTTCAGTGCAGCATTATTCACAATAGGTAAAAAGTATGAACAAAAGTGTGCACTAATAGATGAATGGATAAACAAAATGTATATACACAAAATGGGATATCAGTCAGCCTTAAAAAGAAATGAAGTCCTAATACTTTCTATAAGATGGGTGAACCTCGAAATCATTATGCCCTGGGTGATTTAATTTACTTGTGCCTTAGTTTCCTCATATGTAAAATGTAGATCTCTAACAGCACCTACACTCAGGTTTGTTTTGAGAATTAAATAAGATGTAAGTGTACAAAGATGTTAGCAAAATTATTCAAAAGCAAAGAAATAAAGAATCTAAAGATTATAATCCTTGAAAAAAATTTCCACTTTAATAAAAACACAGTATTTTAAACACAAGAATCCCTTTATAAACTATAATGCACTGACATCTGCGATTTTAAAATAGTGCAACAATTAAAAATTAAGAAAAAAATCTCATTTTATACGCAAAATTTGCCATAACTGTGCTTCCCCATAATTCACTCCTTTGGGAAAATTAGTTTCAAGAAATGCAAATTCTAAGTTATTCAGGATCTCCAGGAATGCTTGCTTTATATAAAATGCACCCTTTAATAATTATAAAAAGGGGATATAGATAGGTGCTAAAAGAGAAAGCATTATAAATTCAAAATGTTTGATACAATAATGTACAGCAGATGGTAGAATATGGGGCACTTCAAAGACTGATGTCTTTTTTTTTTTCTGACCTGTAAGGGGATCTCAACCCTTGGCACGGTGTTGTCTGCACCATGCTCAGCCAGTGAGCGCACCGGCCATCCCTATATAGGATCCGAACGCGCGGCCTCGGCGCTACCAGCGCCACACTCTCCCGAGTGAGGCACGGGGCCGGCCCAAAGACTGATGTCTTTTAATGACAGCCAAGTTTGAAGAAATTATGAACCACCACTTAAATGTAAGATTTAAAAATATAAATTACTCCTTACACAGTTACTGATAAAAGAACAAAATTTATTTCCTTAAGAGACTGTAAAATTAAACATGTAAACAGACAAGAATATGTAAGAAAATGTCAAGAATGACAATAGATTTAAAAATAAATTTAATGGAAATCAGAAAACATTGTTTTTTTTTTCCTTTTTGTCTTTTTTTTTTTACTGACCGGTAACGGGATCGCAACCCTCGGTGTTGCGCCCGTACCGGGGACCGGCAAGGGGATCGCAACCCTCGGTGTTGTGCCCGCACCGCGCTCAGCCAGTGAGCGGGAACCGGTCTCCACATGGGATCCGAACCCTCAGAGGGAGCGCCGCCGCACTCCCAAGCGGCGCACTCTCCAGTGCGCCACCGGGCCGGCCCTGTCAGAAAACATTTTGATTAGAGCCTTAATCTTTAAGGCCAACACATTAGAAGAGGGGTGCTCCAAATACAAAGGTACTTGAAATTTGTGGAAAGCTTTGCAGTGTCTTTTAATTTTATCTTCCATGAACTTTTCAATGTATCCTTGTACTTCTGCATATGACATCTGCTGGGTGTTACCATTAAAGACAGAATGAAAGGGGGTAAGAATCATTAGCCTCAGAAAGGTTTTTCCTTATAGAGGAGACATTCAAATGTTTCATAACTAAGATAACAGCTACACTGTACATACAACATGAATACAGCTCAGTATTTTGCTAAAGTAGCTCAATATCTACTTAATGTAATTCCTTAGGATTTATGGACTAGTTCTTCAAATTCTGGAGATAATCATTGACTTCTAGAAAATTTCAGAATACACCATCACCTATTTCGACATCAACTCAGATTTATGTACCTCATTTTCAATGTAGCTGTTGAGAAGATCTTGGCCCAGTTGTCTATATAGGTTACTCTGAATAGGTAGGTCAATACTCTTGACTTTTCCCTTTTTAATGTTCTGATTTAATCGGTCTTGTTTGTCTGAGGGAGTTGACTGCAAAAGAAATGCAAAAAAGTGTAAATTTCTAAAACTAGTTTAAAATAGATTTGAGAAGTGAAACAAAAATGTAAAATCAAACAAAACAATTACCATATCCTATTCTTCATTTAAAAATACTACTTTAATATGAACAGTATTTTGTATTCTACGTATGCTAAATCCTTTCTACATGAAATATACTGGGTCAGAAATGCAAATTAAAACTATAATGACTTGTCACTTCCTTCCCCCTACGATGGCTATAATTAAAAAATGGAAAATAAGTGTTGATGAGGACATGGAGAAATTGGAATACATTGTTGGCAGGACTGTAAAATGTTGCAGCCCTTTTGGAAAACAGTTGAGAAATTTCTCAAAATGCTAATATAAAGATACTATATGACTCAGCAATTCTATTCCTAGGTATATGCCCAAGAAAAATGAAAATACACATCCACATAAAAACTTGTACATGATTATCCATAAGAGCAGGGAGGGGAGGGGGGAGAGGGAGGTTTTGGTAATGGGTCACAATAATCAACCACATTGTATATTGACGAAATAAAATAAAAATTAAAAAAAAATTTTTTTTTTAAAAGACTAAGATCTTAGAAAACATATTCTCAGACCACAATAAAGTAGGAAATTTACAAAGCTCACAAATGAATGGAAATTAAACAACACTCTCCTAAATAAACAATGGGTAAAAAGAAAAAAAAAATCAGGAAATTCAGAGAATACTTTGAGATAAAGATCAAAGAGCAATGTATCAAAATTTATAGGATGCCTGGATCACATAATGCTTAGAGGAAAACTTATACTTTTTTATTTTTTTTTGGCCTTTTTGAGACCGGCCGCACTGCACTCAGCCAGTGAGCAGACCGGCCATCCCTATTTAGGATCCGAACCCGCGGTGGGAGCGCTGCTGCGCTCCCAGCGCTGCACTCTCCTGAGTGCGCCATGGGCTCGGCCTGAAAATTTATACTTTTAAACACCTACATTAAAAATAAGAAAAATCTCAAATCAGTAAACTTCTACCTTAAGAAAATAGAAAAAGTAGAGCTCACTAAAACAAAAGCATATATTAGTAGGAATTAAAGATTACAACAGAAATATATGCAATAGGAAACTAAAAAACAATAGAGAATATCAACAAAAACAAAAGTTGATTCTTTTAAAAGATCAACAAAATTTACAAACCTTTACCTAGATGGACCAACAAGAAAGAGAAAAGACCAAAATTACTAAAATCAGAAATAAAGTAGGAGCATTATTACATTGTCATTATGCTTTTTTGTGGTGTTAAGATTTAGTTTCTTTCTCTTTCTTGTTTGCATTTTTGTTCTATCAGTGGGTTTTGTTCTTTCTTGTGTATTCATGGTAGTAATTATTTTTTTTTGAATTCCAGATTCAGGACTTCCTTGAGGATTTCTTGCAGGGCTGGTCATGTGGTGGTGAACTCCTGCAGCTTTTGTTTGTCTGGAAAACATGCTATTTTTCACTCATTTCTGATGGCTAGTCTTGCTGGGTATAGTATTCTTGGCTGCCAGTTTTTTTTCTTTTAGTATTATTAATATTATCATCCCACTTTCTTTTGGCCTGTAGAGTTTCTGTTGAGAATCCTGGTGTTAGTCTGATAGGGGCACCCTTATGGGTGACTTGATGCTTTTCCTTCTCTTAAGATTCTCTGCCTGAGATTTGCCAATGTGACTATGTGTTTTAGAGAGGATCTTTTTGGGCTGAATCTGTCTGGGGAATCTTTTGAGTTTCCTGGATCTGAAGGTCTGTGTCTCCCCCTATACCTAGGAAGTTTTCTATTATTATTTCATTGAATAGGTTTTCCATGCCTTTTCCTTTCTCCTCTCCTTCTGGAACACCCACGATTCAAAAGTTTGTGCAGTTAAGATTGTCTGTTAGCTCTCTTACATTTTCTTCATTTTTTAAAATTCTTTTTTCCTTTTTTGTGTTTGCCTGGGTTATTTCAAGAAGACTGTTTTCAAGATCAGAAATTCTTTTCTCCTCGTTCTAGTCTGCTGCTTAAGCTACCAGTTGTGTTTTTTATTTCAATGAGTGAAGCTTTCAATTCCATGAGTTTTACTACATCCTTCTTTAAGATATTAATCTGTTTGTAAATTTCCTCCTTCATATCCTGGATTATTTTTTCTTGTTTTCATGTTGTTGAAGTCTTCTCATATCTCAGTGAGTTTCCTTAAGATTGTTGCTTGGAATTCCTTTTCAGTCATTTCAAGGGTTTTCTGCTCTATAGGGTCTGTCTGGTATTTGAGAATTACTACATTCTTTTGGTGATGGCATATTTTTTGGGTTTTTGTATCTCTGGTATCTCTGCACTGATATCTGGTCATCTGGTAGAACAATTGCGTTTACTCTGGAATGGGCTTTGAGAAGAGTGATGTCCCTTTTTTCTGATTTTTGCTGGTGACTCTCCTTGTGTCAATGCAGTCGGATGTCTGGCAGGCTGCTTGCATGGTGGCTGTGGCTGCTGCTGTGGTGTCGAGCTGATTCTGCGGAAGCTGTGGCTGACCACTCATGTGGAAGTGGTGTTTTCAGCCTGCTCTCTTTCCTGCTTTTGGGTGGGGGGTACTGCCCCTGGTTCCTTGTCTAAGACCCTGGGCGTACACTCTTGCCTGTTTCCAGGTGGAGGGGTCTGCAGCCCTTGGCTCCTTGCCTAAGACACTGGGCGCACTCTCTTCCTGCTTCCCGGTGGAAGGGGCTGCAGCCCATGGCTCCTTGCCTAGGACCCCGGGCACTGCACAACTCTGAATATACAAAAAACCACTGAACACTACACTTAAATGGGTGAGTTGTATGATATATAAACTATATCTCAAAGCAGTTAAAAGCATAAAAAAATTGGGGAAAATGAAAAATTTAGAAAAATCTGATAAAGATGGTAGCTTAGAGCTGTAGCTAAATTCATCTGGGTGACTAGGGCAGGATCTCTCTCTTCCTTAATCAGCAATGATTTTCATTGTAAAATAATTACTTTCAACAATAAAGTCGTTTACCCTTTAAAATTTTATTTTTAAAAATATTTTTTTGCACACAGAAAACATGCAGCAAAATGTACAGAGTGGTTAATTCTGAGATGCAGGGTATTGCTTATTTAAATTTTCTTCATTTGGCTTTTTCCATTTCATATTTTCTCTGAGATTACATGATTTTTAGTGAGAAAAGTGTTACTGAAAAATATATCATTTTTTTCTCCCCAAAATTTTACTTACATTGTTAGGGTTCATTCTTTAACAAAACCTGTATAAGAAATCATTAAAATGTATTTATTCTGGTTATGCGCCTTCTATACGTTTCCACAGTAGTAAGATTAAAAATATCAAGTATATTAAAAGCAAACATCACAAAGTCTAAGTATATTAACTCATTAAAAACATTAATCTCAAAAAGACAAAACAAAAGAAATAGTAAATCAAACCTTTGTTTTGGTGCCTGTATGATCGATTTCCTCTTCTGGGGTGTGTTCAGCATGACATTTTTGATGACTGCCTTCTTCTTGGTCAACCTGCATTTTCTCCTGGAAAGAAAATATACAATTGAAAATATACGTAGTATCCTTTTCTTTAGTTCTAGACTGTTCTGAAATGTGTGAACATAGTGAAGTAGATGCTTGTTTTTCAAGTGAGAATAACTACAAATAACAGATTAACAGGCAAATAAAATGAAAAGATCTATTTGATACTATGTGAATAAATTTTGTTTCATTTATCTGGGGCCAAATAATTTCAAAATACATGGAAAATTGTTAAAGTCAAATTTACAAATCAAGATTCACAAAAACAAGCTTACGTAAAAGAAGATTCTTTCTGACATGAAAAATGTTTATGAAGATCTTAATAACATGGTGAAAAGAGTAAAAAAGACTAAATTTATGTATTATACAAATACAATGATATTTAAATATATAGTAAAATGCTGAAAGAAATTTATCAAAACTGTCAAAGTAGAGGTCTCCAAACTATTAAAATGCAATTTTAAAGCTGTTTTCCCTTTTTATGTCTAAAAGTCAAACTTTCCATCAATAAAACGCCTAAAAGAGACTCTTCACTTGCAATGAATCACAAGTAACAGATTTTTCTGATCCATTTCTTAATCCTATCTATCACCATCCTCCTGAAAAAAAGGAAGCATGGAATACAATAATCAGAATTAGAATTATTTTTAAGTCTTCTACTACAACATCTAGAATTAAGCAAATATATAATACCCAGAAAGCTATCTCGATTAAATGCTTATTTGTGCCAAAGAGAAAAACAAGCCAGAAAATAATTCTTTGTACATAGATCAATTATTTCTGATATTCCAAATCCTCTGTTCCAATTCTACAACCTCCCCAATCTTGTGATGGTTGAGATGAAAAAAGTGATATGGTGTCAAACTAGAGTCATGCAGGTAGACACAGATTTGTTAGTAACCCTAATATATGTATTACTAAAAAAAATGCTGTAAATTAAATGGTTGTTTTATGTCACCTAGAATTTTTATTTATTAAAGAGATCTATTGTTTATATATTTATGTCTCGTATAAACAGAAAAGAAAAATGAACCAAATAAAGTAGTTAAGGTGCTTCTAAAACTTCTTCACATTCACAATCCAACTTTTCTGAATCACTCAATTCAGTTGTTAATGTCTATATTTTTCTACACAATACCATCCTCTGTGCCATTAAGAACATTAGTGACCCAGCGTTTCTTTAAAACTTGCTCTAGTATTTTGTTATAAACCACTGACACCAATTCTGCAAGTTTTATGATGGTGTTTTACCTTACCATGAGTCAGTAGATTGTTTTCAGTCAACAACCAGAACTGTATTCCTTCCTAGAATGGTCCTTAAATTTTTTGTGGACTGAAATGGCAAGGGGTTGCAAACTGCCAAGCCATGTCACTGAGAATAACAACTGAATTCATATATGCACAGCTGGTGAGAACTATCTCATGACTATTGCCATGGTCACAAACAGATGTTGTTATTTGCAAGACCCATCTCAATTTCAGATATACTAAAAGGTGGAAAACTGTACATCTTACAATTGATGTAAAATGGCAGTAATTTGTATTAACAAATTCACCCTTAAAATGATTTTTTCTCCCTAATTTTAAAAAGAAGGTTCATAGGAGAAAACGACGGAAGTGCTTCTAGTCTCTGGCATCTCTGATTTTAACTGATTTTAAACTCCATGAGAGTTGAAAATCACCCTTCTCTTTGCTGCTATATCCAAACACACACTTTAGGTGTTTATATTTAACTTGCTAAATAAATAACAGGCACTTAAGAATAAAATCCAGTATCACTATAGTGAAGGCTTTACCTGATTTCTCTCTTGATCTACCTTCTCAATTTAATTTCTTTCTTGCCATTCTCCCCTTCTCCACTCCTATATCCAATACATAAGCCACTCTTCTGTTTGTTGTAACAAAAAAGGGCTTCCTGTCTCACAGTCTTTTGTTACTTGTTATGCCCTCTGCCTAAACAATCAACACTCTTTACCCTCAAATTGCCTTTTTCATCCTTCAGGCTAGCTTATCTGTCCTTTCCTAGTTGGCTTTCCTCATCACTATCAAATAGTTATTTTCCACTATGCATCCTTGTTAATTTCCCTTATATTTATGTGCTATCTTGTTGCTTCTTGCCTGTCCTTTCCCAGTGGAATGTAAGTCACAGATGGATGGTGACCTTTTCTATCCTGTTTATTATTATATCCCCAGTGCCTAGAAAAGTCCCTGCTACATATAAGCAATTAAAAAAATAAACAACCCAATGGTCAACAGTGGGAAACAGTTAAATTGTTGCACATTAGTATGATGAATAAGCACAGTTTCTTTGACCCCTACTTCTGTAATGCAGTTTAAGATGTGATAACTTCTGGGGCCGGCCCGGTGGCGCACTGGATAGTGCGCCGCTTGGGAAGCGCAGCGGCACTCCCGCCCGAGGGTTCGGATCCCACATACAGACCGGTTCCCGCTCACTGGCTGAGCGAGGTGTGGGCGCAGCGCCGAGGGTTGAGATCCCGTTGCCGGACACAGAAAAAGACAAAAAGACCAAAAAAAAAAAAACCACATACAGACCGGTTCCCGCTCACTGGCTGAGCGAGGCACGGGAGCAGCGCCGAGGGTTGAGATCCCGCTGCCGGACACGGAAAAAGACAAAAAGACCAAAAAAAAAAGAGATGTGATAACTTCTAAGTATGTCTGGCTATTAATATATACCTAGAAGAGAGGTGTCAATTTTCTGAAACATTCTTATGCTGAAGTTGGCAATCTATATTATGATTTTTCAGGAAAATCAAAGCTATCTTAATTTTGCACTTGGTCCTAGCCAAAAGACTGAAAAGCAATAAAGCTATCTTAACTTTGAATGAAAAAATGAGGCACATCAAATGATCTTTGTGTTTGGGCTTCTTTTTACCTCACAGTCAGCATTGTCAGCTGCTAGGGAAGAGTAAAAAGAATATAGAGAGAGAGACCATATTACAATGGTATTCAAGCCTTGAGCCTTTCAAATTTATGGATACAGAATAAAAGAGAAAAATCCTAGAGAAAACCATTAAGAGACAAATACAAAGGATGTTCTCTACAGACGGTATTCAACATCACCCTTTATGTTAGCAAGGATTAGGAAATAAACTAGTTTACTCAATACCAATTATATATCAGCTATGGTAGGGATTTAAAAGAACATATATCTTAGTGTGCTCACCAACAATGCCAAGTGTATGATTCACAATGTTAGCTACCTTTCTTTTTCCCTTGATTATATAAATTGTAAAAGGAACATTCAGGAATATCTCACCGATCTAGAAGTCTTTTATATGGGAAACTCAACTACCTGGAAATGTTCTAGTAAGCCAAGAAACATTCTTGTAAACCAATAAATCTCTGAATGACCAAAGCAAATGTCATAAATCCATGTACTTTATTCACATTTAAGTCCACACCCACAAACCATCCTGAAAGTCTGGTTAACTGGATTTCCAGCCCACAGACAACAGAAGCAGCAAATAAGAAACGCTAGGTGAAGTAGAAGATGAGTGCTATGAGTATTCTTGTTTTATTTTCAGATTCCTAGGATTCACTAACATTAAATATACAGAAAACTAAAGGCCCTCAGCAGAAATACTCAAAAAGAGGTAAACAAAATGAAATGGTTATGAACAACTCGTCCTAGAAAGGACATACAAAGTGCTCTCAATTTAGTAAAAATAAGTTTTGCTTAAATTTACATGTCTGACTTAAATTACTATGAACTGTAATTTGAAAATTAACTTTTCACCAATTATTCTTATGTTAATTTATGAAAAATTAACTGCATCTTCACTAACTGATTAGGACATTTCTTCTTCCTCATTTCAAGTAAGGAAGGATGTGACAGCAAAAAATCCATGGGAAGAATGAAAAAGAAAAAGGTCACGGTCTTTAAAGTATTTTAAAGGCTAGTGGTTGAATTCTGATCTAGAAGATTGTACAGTAACTATTAGTAAAAACAACCCTCATTGCACTCCCATGTTTATTGCGGTTCTGTTTACAATAGCCAAGATATGGAACCAACCTAAATGTCCACTAATAGATGATCAGATAAGGAAAACTGTGGTATATATACACTATGGAATACTAGTTTGCCATAAAAAAGAATGAAATACTCCCATTTGCAACAACATGGATGAACCTGGAGAAACTTATGTTGAGTGAAACAAGCAAAGCATGGAGGGATAAATACCACATGTGCTCACTCATATGTGGGAGCTAAGACAGAAAGGAAGGCAGGAGAGAAAAAACACAGTAGTCTCATGATCCAACAGAGGGAGGGAACATTCCTAGGGCTACAAATTGGAGAAGAGCGGGGAGAGGAGGGAGGTTGAGGGATAACTGGAAGGGGACGAAGGGTATAAATGTAATTTCTGATAATGGGTATGCCCCCAATATGAATCTGGCCCTCACATCATGGGCAGGAAGGGGGACAATCAGCTTTGTATCTCCTGAATATTTGAAATAAATAAATTTAAAAAAAAAAGCAACCCTCCAAAAAGGGGAGAAATTGTCTTGAAATTTACCAAAGGAAAACCCATTCTTCATATGCACAAAGAGATGTAAATCTAGGGCAGATCTCCAATTATGACTGAAAGAAAAAAAATCTAACTGCAATTGGAAAAATTTACAAAGAGTACACATAAAAAGACAAAAATTTTGTGTAATGGAATATAATCAAGTTCCCCTAACATTCCTTTATCTATAGTATACCAAGTGTAAATTCAGCGTCACGTGAACAAAAAGTAAAAAATCTGTATTTTAATGTTATTGAATGAACAGCACATTCCTCTGCTAACTGCTACAAATATCCCCTAAATTCTGAAAAATTCCTTGTTAAGCATGTATTTTCAAATCTAGAAATGTGTGTATAGCTCAAAATTTATCATTCTGAATTGGATTTATCTGTAAGCTAAAAATCTAGCCATAATAAAGTACATGTTTTTTTTTTTTGTCCTTTTTGAGACCGGCCGCACTGCACTCAGCCAGTGAGTGCTGTGAGCGCACCGGTCATCCCTATATAGTATCCGAACCCGTGGCGGGAGCGCTGCTGCGCTCCCAGCGCTACACTCTCCCAAGTGTGCCATGGGCTCAGCCTATAAAGTACATGTTTTTTAATGAAAATTAAGTACTTCAAAAAGATGACCCCAAATTCATGTGCTCCATATGTAATGCTATGAAAGACACATAAGCCCCTGAAAAGTATATTAGTGTGAAAGATGTACAGCATTTAAAATATAACTACTCTTTAATGCTTTTGTAAAAAAATGTTTCACTGATTCCTATAACAGAATTTCAAAGCAAAATCTCAGAGAATAATGTACTCAACTATTAAAGTACTAGTTATGATTAAGATCCCGTATATATTATCTATTAGAGAAAACGAGATATTATTTCTACATACCACCTCATCTTTGTTTTCATTCTTAAATGAAGCTTCTGTCTCCATAGCAGCATCACTGTGATCCCCTTCTAAATTGTGCTTCTCAATGACTGATGCACTAGCCACACTAAAGATTCCATGGATGTTAACACGAACTTTAACCTTCACTTTCGAACTATCACCGTCAGACTGTGGAAAAACATTCTGAATAATGAAGCTCCCTTAAGTAAAAAAGAGCTTTCATTAGTACATGAGCTTCAGATTAACCCATTCAATTCATTTATTCAGTACTTTGACTATCATCTTTAAGATGTCAGCAAATAATTGTAAAATTATGATCACATCCTTATTAATTACTATGGAGCAGGCACTCACCCCCAGATTTTATCATAACAAACCTGGTATTAGGACTCAGAAAGGTTAAACAACCTGCCCAACATTATCAATTCTAGGAAAAAGGACAGTTGGGAATTTAACCACGGACAATTTGATTCAAAAGCAATATAACTTTTAAGTATTTTACAATATTGCTACTATCTAGAAAACCAAAATAACAAAATTTCGTTTCTGAGTTTAAAAACAAAATAGATATTGCCTTTCTGCTATAAGCTTTACAAATCACAATCATCTTAATAATTCATTAATAAAGCAATTCCAAAAATTTTTTGGATTTTTCCTATAGCAAAATTGCTAATTACCCAGTCACTAATACTTGCAGAGATCACATCAACTTCTCACTTTAAGAAATCTACTAATATTTTTTTCTCTGAAGAAATCTCAAATACGTAATGATATCCACAGCTGAGGAGAGAGTACTAGGCAGATCATCATCCTATTACCTTAAATTATTCAAGGTTTGAAAATCTGAAATTCACAAGCCTTTTCCTCTATCCTAGTTTTAAAGAACCTACCAATACCTTCTATTTTCTTATTGTAGTCATTTAGGATATATTTATTTTTCAGTTTAGCTCTCCATATGATTTCTTACGATTTTTTCCTAAATCATTTATACCTTTAAAATTAAACTTTACAGAATACTATTTCTTCCCTCAAAATTGACATTAACACATCTCATTCAAATGTTCTGCAAGACATTCAGATAAGGTTGATGATCCATATTTTTGAAAGCTGTACAAAAATTTCATTTCCTTGGGGCTACTGATGTATAGAACAGAACAAAATTTTAAAAGAAACATCAACATATAAATACAGCTTATTCACTGTACAAGCTATACTTCTGAAAAGTAGTCAGGTAAAATGTTTGAAACACAAATTTTGATTTTGGTAGAGAAGTTCCTTAAATCCTGGGCAATTCATGGAAAAAGAAATGTAAATGTTGACAAAAGCATGAAAAGGTTTGTAGTTTACAATAGTCACAAACACGTTTAATAACAAGGTACTATTTTTCACTATCAGCATGTTAAATTTAAAAGTGTAGGAGAAAATGAGCTGAAACAAGTAATCTCATGAATATTCACAGGAACATAAATTGATATAATCTTTTCAGTGAATAATTTGGCGGTATTATTTAAAATAGTGTACAGTCTTTGGCTCAACAATTCCATTTCTACACTGTTATCTCATAGATATATAAAATACAACTGATCAAGAATGTTCCTAATAGCACTGCTTAAAATAGCAAAAATATGACTTAATAGAGTATTGGTTAAATTTACTGTGGCACAGACATTGCTGAAAAAATAGTTATCTCTTGACATAGAAAGATGATATATAACGTATTCTAAAAAGCAAGCTGTGGGCCGGCCCAGTGGCGCACTGGAGAGTGCACCGCTTGGGAGCACGGTGGCGCTCCCGCCAAGGGTTCGGATCCCATGTGGAGACTGGTTCCCGCTCACTGGCTGAGCGCGGTGCGGGTGCAACACCGAGGGTTGCGATCCCGTTGCCGGTCAGTAAAAAAGACAAAAAGGGGGGAAAAAAAAAAAAAAAAGCAAGCTGCATTGGAGATATACAGATTACCCTGTATGCACTAAAAAGGTGCATGCTTTTGTTCATTTATGGATATTCAAAGAAAATGAATGGACAGATAACACTATCTGTTAAAAATGGTTATCTCTGTAAAACTGGCTAAAGGAATTGGGGTATGGCAAATACAGGCCTTTAAGTTTTTATATTTCTATATTATAATTTTCATTTAAAAATGAGCATGTTTTATTTTTCCAATAAAATACAAATAAAAAATATGCCCATCATAGTTTATAGGTTATACTTTTATTATTTTTACATTTTTTTCCTAACACTTTTATGAAAAGTATTTGACAGAATTTTAAGAAGTGTAAATTCCTCTTAGAAAAGTAGGCTTAATTGATTAAAGATTTATGACAAGCTCTAACCAAGGTTTTAAAAATAACTTACCCAGTTCCATCTTCAAAAGAGGTCTTCCACCTTAATGTGATTGAATAGGGGACAAGGTCTGTTATGGAAAATTCACGCACTTTAAATGCTGGTGAGAGAATTGCACACTGAAAGCAAGATGTATACCATAGTTAAATCAAACACAAAATCATACCCCAGGTTACTCTAATTGAACTGTTGAATAAAGTACTTGTAGTAAAATTGTTAGTTACACTTTCCCCACTGTGACTGTTAAGAGGGTGGGAAATCCTATTATGTAATTGAAAGGTGGGGCCTAGAAGAGATGATTAGATTCTGAGGACCATGTCCTAATGAATGGATTAATAATGGTGGTTATGGGTGTGGCTCTGAGGGCTTTAAAAAGAATGCACACGAGCATCTCTCTCTGCTTCTGCCATCTAGCAATGTGATAACCTGTGTCGTTAAAGTCACCACCCAGGGGCCGGCCCGGTGGCGCACTGCTACAGTGCACCGCTTGGGAGCGTGGTGGCGCGGTGGCATTCCTGCCGAGGGTTCGGATCCCACATACAGACCGGTTCCCGCTCACTGGCTGAGCGAGGTGTGGGAGCAACACCGAGGGTTGCGATCCCGTTGCTGGTCCCAGTCCGGTACGGGTGCGACACTGAGGGTTGCAATCCGTTGCCGGACATGAAAAAAGACAAAAAGGAAAAAAAAAAAAAAAAAGTCACCACCCAGGAAGACCCTCACCAGATGTGTTCCCCGGGCCTTCAGACTTTCCAGCCTCTGAAACTGTAAGCAATAAATTTTGTTTTCTTATAAACTACCCAGTTCCAGGTATTTTGTTATAAACAACAGAAACAGACTAATACATATATATTCTAAGAAAATGAAATAACAGTCATACCTGTAAAGCACATCCTCTTGCAACAGCTTCATCAGCATTTAGTGTGGTACTTATGTCTTTAAGAAAGAATTTAGTGATTTGTTCCTTCACTGCAGGAATTCGTGTTGCTCCTCCTACAACTTCTATACTACTTATGTCTTCACATTGTAAGTCTGGAAAATAAAATGTTTTTAATTGAGAAAAACAAGCCTCTAAAAATCTGTGAACAATAAACTTTGGAAAGTACTTTTTAAAAAAGTGCATCAAGTTTTTACTTGCCTCAAAGAATATAAAATGGATAGAAAAACACAAATTTTGGAAAAAGGCAAAATTTAATAAATATTAGCTATGTAACAGGCACTATACTTGGTCCAGATGATGTGGTAACAATAGAAACAGATAAGCATCTCATGGGATTTTAAAGGAGCTCTTTAAAGTACTTCAATTTTGTAACTTCCACCTCACAAATATCTATAGAAGGTATATTTTTAATTGATTACCAAAAATCTTAAGCAATCATGTCCCCATTTCTACTTTAATTTCATTTTAGAATCTTCTATACTTACATATAAACATCTCCAAATAGTACTAGCAATGAAACGAATAAACAATAAAATGAATTAAACAATAAAATGAATCATAAGAAAGGATTCTCACAAATCCAATTTCTAGTGCCCTACTCTCACAAATAAAGAATGAGTTATGCTGTCCTTTAAAATCAGAAATAAAAATCTTTAAAAAAAAGTTTTTATTGCTTTTTATCATTTTCTATCCCCTTCAAGTGAGCAACATCATGGTACAATTTTGATAGTACAGTAGTTCCTACTTACTAGCTTGTTCCATTACTGCTTTTAAAGGTGGTTCAACCCTAGCCAAGAGGGAAGCACATAATTGTTCAAATTGAGCCCTGTGAGAAAATAAAATATAATTTATTATTTTGGGATAAAAATTTGAATATATCTTCTAAAATAACAATAAAAAAACCCCAGAAATGATCTAAACATTATAAAATAAGCAAACACTTTTCAAACTGAAAACATACATGGTACCTGTTCATTTTACTAGAAACATCAAGGTCATTCATGAAACACTCAATGTTCAATGGCAGATCTGATGCATTTGCACTCATTAGCTTCTTTAGTTTTTCACATTCCTGATATAAACGCAACAAGGCCCGAGAGTTTTCTTTCACATTTATCTTATATTTGGTCTTGAACTCATCACAGAAGTAGTCTACTAAAGCCTCATCAAAGTTCCTGCCACCCAAATATGGATCAAAGGTAGTAGCCAAGACCTGTTTAATTGAAAAAGCAGAACTGAATTTTCAGAAATATAGATTATTTGAAAAAAGAAAACAAATGAAAAGAAAAACCTCTAAACTTATAATGAAAAAAGTAAAATGAACCTGAAGAACTTGTCCAATTATAGGGGTGCTAAATTTAGAATCAGAGTTAAATTGCCACTTACATTTAGCCAATATATTTCCCTGCTCTGAATTATCTGCTTTATAGTTACAGATCCATATATCATAATTAAAAGAATAATTGTAATTCTGAAATAACTGAATTACAACAACTAAAACCTCATCCTTTGGTTCTAACAACAGCACTATACATGTAGACCAAAACCCAAGTTTAAGAGAGCCAAGAAGTGGTTCTAAGCATATGAACAAGGAAAAAAAATTCAAGAAAAGCAGACCCTAAGATTAAATCTAAAATACTGTACTTGGTCAATTTACAGATCAGGAATTAGGCCTTCTATTTTTAAAGAACCTAGCTTATTTTTACAAAAATACAGATGAAACCAAAGGATACATAAGAGAGCAAAAAAGAAAACAGAAGCAAGTGAAGAGAGAGACAATTTAATAAGCTTACTGAGCCATAGGTTCCTAGCCAGCAGTTAGTTGAAAGGAGAAAAAAAGTCACAAAATAACACTATAGCTCTCGAAAACACAGGACCAAGACATCTAGTCTTTTCCTACAGTAAAATGACTACTTACGATAGTCACTACTAAAAAAAAATAATCCCCACTCTTGGTGATGTTCCTCGGCTCTTCACAAGGGTGGGGTGGTAGAATGGTGGTAAACATCACAGTAGGAAGGGAGTATAATCTGAACACAATGTTATCCCACAACTAGCATGAAGAATCCATGTATAGACTTCTCATGAAGTCCAGTATTACCCAAATTAAACATAAAAGTATCTTGGTATGTGACTAGTGCAAGTGTGCATTCTTCTGGGGAGAAGGACTATAGCCTTTATCAGACTTCAAAGGGGTCTATAAAAATTATAGAATGCTACTGTAAGTCATCTACTAAAAAGAAAAGAAAATGTTCTTTTTAAATTAAATTAAAATTTAAGGCTAAATGCCAAAGATTAAACCAATTTATACCAAAAACTACCCTATATTCAGTATTGAGTCATTTCCCTTTAATTTTCTAATTACAAGGATGTTGTTATAGTAATATAAACTGCAAGACAAAAGGCTGTGTTGGATAACCCCAAAACATTTTACCTTTTAAATAAACTCTACTCATGCATAATGGAGAGAGAGCATAAGTCTGAACAAGATAATAAATTTAAAAATGCATATAAAACCAAATACAGACTAACAAAATAGCACATAGAAGTAAGTAATGCTACATTACAGAAAATTATGATTAGGACTTCTGGATAAAAAGGTTTCTAAAAACAATGAGAATTATTTTAGAAAATGTTCCTTGTAAGTATATTTATGGATAAATAATTTATGCTCCCTAATAGCTAACTTAACACCTCAATAAATACAACAACAACAATAAAAACAGCAAACACATATTATAGAAGCTACACTATGCCAGGCTTCCCAAGAATTTTATATACATTAACTCATTTTGTCCTCAAAAATTCTATGAGGTAGTAACTGATAAAATCATCAGATGAGGAAACTAAGGTTTAAGGAGGTAATATAACTTGCTCAAGGTCACAGTTTTTAAGGGGCAGAGTTGAGACTCAAACCCAGCTATTAACATTCCCTATATAGTTTGTGCTCTTAAAGTTAAAAATAGCAAATCATTTGTTTACTTACTTTTAGTTTTCCTTTGTTAAAAGCAGAAACTGAGACCTGATAGGCAGAATGTCCCATATCAATAAATACTACATTTCTTGGTTTCTCATCTAATGGGGGAAGATCCTGTTTATAAATTCCATATGCTAGTGCAACTGTGTAAGAACAAATAATTAAGTTAATTCCAGCATAGCAATTACTTGGAAAACAAGAGATAAGTCACTTTGATACTTTAATACACAGTAACAGCAATACATATTATTAGTTTCAAATAAATTAACTTTTCATAATTCGGTTGTTTTAATTTTATTAAAAATTAAATTAACTCATCTATAACTATATAATAGTAATGATTCTTATAGCCAATAAGACATAACCTGTCAGAATGTTTTACTGCAAAGCAACAACCTTATAAAAATCAGTACATAATAGAGTTACAAAGTGCTTTGTTATTAATAAAAACTATGACAGTATTTTTCTGACAGAGGTTTACAAATTGCAAAGTGCTTACCTGCAGTAGTTTCATTCATCAGCCTTAAGCAATTTAAGCCTGCAACCTGGACTGCGGCCATCACAGATCTTCTCTCAGCATCAGTGAAAAAGCTAGGAATCTGGTATTTAAAAACAATAATTAAGTATATTAGTTTGCATTTCATCAATGGAAAATGTAAAATAATTGCACTAAAACTTATATACAGTTTAAGGCAAAGAATGGTGTTCTAATTAAATAAATGACAAAAAATACTAGTTTTATTTTTCAGTTATGACAATTCCTATACCATAAAGATTTGACCTAAAGTACAAACGCTAATTTAAAGTAATTCATAATATGGCAAGATTGCCAAAGTTTTGTTAACTGAAACACTTACTGTGTTAGTCTGATTTGTTAAAAATTATATTTTCTCATCATTAACAATGAAAAACTGAAGAGCCAAGAGTCTTTTAAAATGAGATTAAATATTGTACTAGTCCGTTTCTGTGGCTTATAACAAAATACCTGGAACTGGGTGATTTCTAAGAAAATGAATTTATTGCTTACAGTTTTGGAGGCTGTGAAGTCCACAGTACAGGGAACACATCTGGTGAGGGTGGTGGTGGCAACAGTGACCCAGGAGTCTCACACGGCAGAACATGGTGGAGCAGAAAAAGGAACTTCTCATCTCCTCTTAAACCCCTCAGAATCACGCCCCTGACCACTATTTTAATCCATTCACTGTGCCATGGTCCTACAATCTAATCACCTCTTCAAGGCTCCACCTTTCAGTTACCATAATGGGATTTCCTACCCTCAACAGTTACAGTGGGAATTAAGCTTCTAATATATGGACTTCGGAGGACACAATTCAATCAGTCCACAGCAAATATATTATGGTATATCCACATAATGGAATCCTATGTAGCTGCTGGAAATGATCAGGTAGATCTAAATCATCATGGAATAGTATCTTTATCATGTTAAAAAAAGGGGGGGAGGCATGTATAGTATGATTTCATTTTTGTGTATAAAACCAGAAGACTATATAATCCCAACCATTTAAAATGGTTAATTTTAAAGTGTGTGGGGGGGATACTGTATTGCAGGAAACTTACAATGGGCATGTATTTCTTTTAAAATCCCTCAAAAGCATTACATATACAAATTTCTATATGTTATCAGAAAGGCATATATGTATTCCATATGCTAGTGCAATAAACTAGTTTAAATAGGCTTAAAACATACAAAGATTTATATACGCTTAATTCTGTCAAACTGAGAAGTACTTTGATTTGGCGTACAAATAAATTTCTAAAAAGCTGGTAAGTATATTCATGTACAAAATAACCTGAGGAGCTTACAATTTTAAGTTTTAAGTAAGCATCCAATTTTATTGGAGTCCAATTTTATTGTTTTTTTGAGTTTAGAAATTCCATTTACTAGATATTAGCAAAAGGAAAAGAACCTGAATTTTGATTAGCTTATCCTTATTTGGTATTATACTTCTAACATAAATCTGAATTATAATACATGGTTCATTTAACACTTATTGAGCACTTATGCACCAGATACTTTTCTAGCTACTAGGGATATGGTGCTGCACATAACAAATTTTGCACCAACGACAAAGTCAATAATGGTCAAAAGATTATACTACTATGTTCTAACACTAACTTCTGACATGAAAGTAAAAGCAAACATAGTTAAATAAATAGGACTGATTTGAATTTAAGATGGACTTTCAAAATTTGTACTATTATGTCATACTTGGGAATGAATTACCTGGCTCTACCACTTATGAACTGTGTTGATTTTGGGTACGTGCTCTAACTTCTCTGTGCCTTAGTTTTGTAAATTTGGGGTTCATATCATACTGCATACAGTGGTTCTGAGGATTAAATGAGTTAATACATATAAAATGCATATAACAGTGCCTGCTGAACGGTAAACTCTATTATTTATTATTAAGAAATGGCTGAGAAATAAAATATTAAGCTCTAATATTTTTCTTCCATTTAAAAATTCCAAATGCCATGAAAAAAATTACTAAATTCACTAAAGTATTCATAATCTGACTCTCTTTTTCTGACGTCAGACTCTTAAACATATGTAGTCAAGTTTAACAGTAGGAACATATTCACACTTAGGCAACAACATGTAACTTAAAAATGAGTTAATAACATTTAATGAAATCTCAGGAAATAAGATAGAGTAAATAATTATTTTGTTACAAATCCTTAAAAAAAGATTTTTTTCTTTCTGATACAGAACATATTTAATCTCAAAATGCCAACTGGGAATTTTCAACCTTTGCCATAAAACGTTAAAGTCCTTAGAGGTGGGAAGTACTACGTAGGAAGATTCTTAGGGATAAGCGGCAGGTACAGCAGCCACTAAGTAATCGCATATGTCAGTTCTTTTTTTTAAGATGCACTGATTATCACAATTGACTCTATGAGAAATTCAATCCTAAACTTTATCCAATAAGGTAGTTTTTTAAAAAAAGGAAAAGTCAAAATGGATTTAGGTTATTTACTGGATAAGGGCAGAAAGTGTAAAAGGAAGAAAAATACTTTAATATTACATTAATACATTGGAAAATGATTCAAAATATGTTACTGAAATAAACTTACTGAAATCACACAGTCAGCCACTGGTTTCTTCAAAGCATTTTCTGAAGTCTCTTTAAGCTTGGCCAACAGCATTCCAGTAACTTGCTCAATTGCAAAAGGTCTCTCTTCTTCTAGGTACCGCACCTAAAACCAAGTTGAAATATTTATTAAGAGTTATTTATTCATCCAAATAGTTAGTGAGAATCTACTCTATACATGATATACAGTGAAGAAATTAAAGTCTTTACTCAAAGAAGTTTTATTCCAGAAGGACTGTCATTCTAGAATCATAACCTCATTAAAACAGTGATAATACATCTCTCATTTCTGAGGTTCCAGTACCTTACACTTAATATTATAACCAAACTAATTATTTTCAAAAGTAGCTCAGCCCTCTCAGATCCACACTTCCCACAAATGCAATTTTTCTCATTCATTTTCCAAGTGTGACATAGCAAACAATGAAGGAGAAAAAGACCAAATAATCTCTCTTTTGAAAATTAGAACTCATGAAAGCTTTAGTCATACATTTTTGGGAAAAAGGAAATGAGAATGTCAGAAAATTAAAAAAAAAATTTCCTTATTATGAAAAAAAATTTAATATGTATTACTCCAAGGTTTCTGGGGACAACTATGATTTAACTATAAAAGATGTGCATATAAAGTCTTAAAATTATTTTTTTTAGACCAAATAATTTCATTCTATTTATTGACATACTTTTGGTTGCTGGCCAGTAAGAGGATACAAACCCTTGACCTTGGTGTTATCTGAGCTCTAACCAGCTGAGCTAACCATCCACCACTGCTTCATTTTATACACAGGTTTAAGACTAGGTTGTATTTAGGTACATAAAACTCTGCAATCCTTCCTGACCAAGGAATACTTGGGGACCTATGCTTAATTCAAGTACTCAAACCTTTTTATTACGATAACCAAAAAATTTATAAGCAATATAAAGCTACCTTAGAACCCACCTAATATAACTATATTTAATTTATTGAACAAAAGGCTATGTTTTCTACCTCTGGATTTCCAGTGGTGTGTGTAATTTTATTCTATAATACTAACCTTTAGAAGTGCTTTGCAACACTTTTCTCTTAAGCAGCACAATGTATTTATGCATATGAGTATGTATAAATATGTGTACATCAATGATATAAGATTTACTTTTTATTGAAACATAATTGATTATATGTATTTATGGGGTACAGAGTTGAATATCAATACCTGTATTCAAAGTGTGATAATCAAATCATATTCATCATTACAAAACTTATTCATTTCTTTGTGATGAGAACATTCGATCTACTCTCTTCTAGCCAGTAAGTTGATGTTAGTTATAGATGCCTAGCTCAACCATACAGCAATAGAACTTATTTTTCCAAACTAGCTGTTTTATGTCCAATGTATTTATGCATGAGTCTGTATAAATATATATATATCTTAAGATTTACATTGAAACAAACAAAAGATTTACTTTGAATCAGACCTAAAATTGATATCCATCAGTTTCTAAATCCATTTATGAGTAAATTCAAACACAAATATCATGTCAAATTACTGCCTTTAAACCAAGGGAGCAGGGAGAAATGAAGCACACTGAAATAAAAGAAAATGAATCAAATACCATGGTCTTAGTCTGACTATGAAAGGCTATACAATAATATTATTTAGTATAGGAATATTTAAAGAGTTAGATAAACAAAGTGCACTCAAATATATAAAAAATAAATGGATAAAATGCTTGAGGAGTTGAACATTGAAGATCTTCAGTCCTCTTTTTTTTTTTGAGATTTACTAAATATTTTTTATTTGAGTAAATCATGTAAACCTTCAACTTTTTTTTTTTCCTTTAAATTTTTATTTTGTCGATATACAATGTGTTTGATTATTATGGCCCATCACCAAAACCTCCCTCCCTCCTCCCTCTCTTCCCTCCCACCCAACAATGTCCTTTCCGTTTGCTTGTTGTAACAACTTCAAAGGATTGTAGTTGTTATATCTTCTTCCCCCAACCCCCGGTTATTTTTT